AAGTCAACATGTTAGAAAAAGTAAGCTAAGTTTAATTAACAAGCCTGTTTTGGAAAGCTGTATTCAAATCAAATGCCAGTATCATGTCAGCCACAAGAAAGCATCCCAGTTAACTACCTCTTCTTTCACTAATTTACAAAAGAGCTACAAAGGGGAACTGATTTATTCCAGGACACAGTAGAAGTACATGGAGAAGTCAACCTATCTCTGCTGAACAGTGTTTCCACACTCCTGTGGACAAATTTAAAAGCAATCATCTCTGTGCTTCTAATACAATTGTTACCTAGCTCCAATTCCAAACTATGTGGAGGGCTGGAATGGGTAAAGGCCCTTGTGGGATCATGTGCTGAACACATGTTCCCCAGTCAGTAGCACTGTTTCAGAGCACTGTGAAACCTTTTGGAAGTAGAGCATTGATGGAAGAAGTGGGCCACTTGGGTTCACTCTCTACTTCCCAAGTGTGAATGAATGCAATGTGAGCTGCCAAGCCTCCCCTGACTGCTGTATGATGAACTGTATTCCTCCAAAACCATACCCAAATAAGCCTTTTCTCCCTTAATATGTCTTTACCAGGTAATTTTATCACAGCAATAGGGGAAAAAAAGAGAATGAAGATGGGGTGTAAAGCACATAATGTTTAATACTCTTACATATCAGTTACCCTGAGATACTAGAATACCTGGCACTGTGTTACCACTGTCTTTTCTTACCTAGAACAAATTCTAACATGCTGTAAGTTTATTTAGCTAACTTTATGTGGATATACCTCATACCTAGCAGAGAGGGCTATGAGAGAGCACTTAGTTTGCTGACTAATCCCTAGTTGTAAGCACTGTAGATGAAGTTTTTCAATGGGACCACTAGTCAGTTCTGTCCCATCAGCTAGCTCCCAAATAACCACACAAAGTGGTTATTATATTGTAATTAATTAATTGTATTAATTATAAATGCTTGGCTGATAGCTTAAGTTTGTTTTTAGCTATCTCATAATTTATATTAATCCATTTCTATTCATCTATATGCTACTCCAAGGCTCATATCCCTCAAGTATGTACTTCCCATCCTTCTCACTCTGCATCTCATGGCATTAACTCTACCCCTCTTCTCCCCAGCATTCTCTATGCCCCCCAAAATCCTGCCTAGCTACTGGACGTTTAGCTTTTCTATTAAACCTATCACAGTGACACATAATATTTTGTCCATTCTGGGACAGAACATTATGGACCCTGGAACTTGATATAGCACAGGAATTATGTTAATCTTTCCACACAAACCCCTTGTCCTGTAAAGTCAATTGTTTTGATATAATGACTAAACTATTCAGTGGTATATTTGTAATTTTGTAAAGAGCTCTAGGGCTGGGGCTGGAGAGCTAGCTCAGTTGTCAAGAACTTTGTTGCTCTTACAGAGAGGACCAGGTTTGGTTCTCATCACCCACATGGTGGCTCAGAGTCATCTCTAACTCCAGGCTCAGGGGGTCTGATGCCTTCTTCTGACCAAGGCACATGGTGCACACACATACATGGAAGTAAAACACTCATATACATAAAAAAACAAATTCTAGTTATACCATTATTACCTTAAATACTCTATTAGTTGCTTGTCTCCTTGTGACAAAACTGCTTATTTTGGCTCATCATTCAAGGGCACAAACCACCATGGCATGGGAAACTTGGCAGCAGGGTATTAAGGCAACCATCACATTGCATCCACAACTAGGACGCAGAAGGCAACAGATGCTCTTGATGGTCTGGCTTTCTCCTTTTTATCCAGTCAAGAGTTCCAGCTCATGAAATGGTACCATCCACATTCAGGGTGAGTCTTCCCATTTAATTATTTCATCATCTAATCTAGATAATCTCATACAGCTGCACCCAGGGAATTGTCTCCAGGGTGAGTCTAAATCTCATTCAATTGACAATCAAGATTAACTATCACAGATACTACTTGCTGGTTTCAGGCTTTCCTCCATCAATCTGTCTTGTTTCTAACCTATCACTCCACATTCACAACCCAATTTCCTCCGGTCCTGGAACTCTGGCTGCTAGGAAACTAGATGCCTGTTCTGAGGGCTTTGTTAGGAACAATGAGTCTGGCTTTCTGCATGTTGACTTTAATATGTCTTGCTGTGGTCTTGTAGCTCAACCTCTGGTTCTGATCTGTCAAAGGCATCTGAATACATAGCCCACCTAAGTCTACACATAGGAAAAGTTAAAATAAATATTGTGTGTATTTTCTTAAACATACTTCTACAAACCATTTTCTCAAATTCTGTATCTTAAAATAATCATAATAAATTCCTTGTTTTCAAAGTGGTGTACACCAGAGCTACTTATGGAGCTTCATAAAAATGCATATATTCAAGTCCCTGGAAGCTATACTTCAGATGGTCACAGGCAGTTCTCCAGAATCCTGTAGTGACAAATTTGATTCAGCCATATAGTCAAAGTTAAGAAGCACTGTTACAAAAACTGCAGGAATGGCTATCTCATTTCCTTTTCCTACACTGAGGATATGGTAGGAAAATGAATGTGTAATATGGCAATAGGTGAAGGTGTCTACCTGGCTCCCAAATCCAGCTGGTTTTGTACAGAAGACAAAGAACAATCCAGATGACACTGAAACACCAACCAAGTTTGTTGTGCTTACTACTCACTTTTTTACACTTTCTCTTTTTTCCTGGGTGTGTAACTGTTTTCCTGATGTTCAGACTGTTGTAGTTACTCATGCTGCATATATCTGCACCCATTTCAAACATCTGTCAGACCACTGTCCTCCCATTTATACTCTGCTTTACTGACAAACAGAACTCCCAACTCTCTGTTCATTTCAGGTATATATGAGAAAAACAGGTGACACGACGTAAGTACATATTTTACCTAACCAAAGCTTATTACTACCCATCTGATAAAGCAGGGATTCTCTATAGATAAGATACTCTTCACAGGAAGGTCTTCCCATGCATTAACAACGTCCACAGTGAGATAAAATGAGAGTTTGGCTGTCGGGATCTGAAGACAAATTTTCACAATTCTTCCTTTTCTCTATCTTAGGACCTCAAATGTCCAATAAACTCATTGAACAATGGTAACTCCCCCTGTAGGTTTTGTCATGGCAACCAAAAGTAACTCAGACATGAGGAAAAAAGGAGAGTCAATACACATGAAGGGACCAGCTCCCCATTTTGGCAGCCATAGCAGCCTAGCACATGCTTGCCTGACCTTTCCTTGGTCACTAAGAGGTCAGATGCCTGCCCATTTCGGCAGCCATAACAGCCTAACACAAAAGTGTTTGCCTGACCTTGCTTGGTCACTAGGAGGTCAGATGCCTGCCTCGTGGCAAAGAACCAATCAGAAGTTAGCTGGTGGTGCTAAGCTTTATGGCTCTAGATGTGCTTTATGGACATTGACCAATCAACACAGGGCAAGCCCTCCAAGCCTGGAGGCACACCAATCCTGAGCCCGTGCATACCCCTAGACACTCCCCTTACGCTGCCCTATAAGATCTCTATGCAGTGGCTTCGAGGTGTCCTTCCTAGCTACCTGCCATGGTGGATGGATGAAAGGCCCAAGCTAACATGGGGTTAGCTCGTTAAACAACTGCAATAAAACCTCTTGCTGTTTGCATCAAGCTTTCGACTATGCCTGGTAGCTGGGGTCATCGCCGTCCTGGGGGCCTGAGATTCCAGAGGTCTTTCACATGCACGAGTATACCAGCTGTTCAGTTCTTTCAGGCTCCTCCAGTGCCTCTCTAACATGTGTCTCAGTCAGTGTTCTATTGCTGTGAAGGGACACCATAACTGTGGCAACTCTTACAAAGGAAAACATTTAATTGGGGCTGGCTTACAGTTTCAGATGTTTACAGTTATCAGCATGGCAGGAAGCAGGGTAGAATGTAGGCAGACAGTGTGCTGGAGAGGCATCTGTGAGTTGTACATCTGGATCTACAGGCAGCAGAGACTCTGGGCCTGTTTGAGCATTTGAAACCTCAAAGCCCACCCCCAGTGATACCCTTCCTCCAACAAGGCCACATCTACTTCAACAAAGCCACACCTCATTCCTGTCAAGCAGTGCCACTCCCTAATGACCAAGCATTCAAATTTATGAGCCTATGGGATCATTCTTTTTCAAACCACAATTTCCTATTCAAACTTAATTTAATCAAAATACTACCACATATAAAAGAACTGCTACTATTAATAGCCTAAAAACTATTTTGAAACAAATTTGAAACATCAGTTTTGAAGATGATTATTATAGAGATTTATCATATAAAATGCACCAAGCAAATGCTATATTTGAAGCTGCCAACACATTTTTCATTTTTCTCTGCAGAGTCCAGAGAGCACATACTGAATATTACTATTTTAATAAAACAACAGTACTAAGGCTTTCTAGGCTCATAGAAAAATAAGTATGCTATTTTTTCTTTTTTTACAAAGAAATATTAATTCTTCAGACATGGAGAAAACTTTGGAAATGAGAATAAAATTTTGTACTTAAGAAAATAACAGTTTTATCATCACAATCAAAGCAAAGCCTACAAGTATTTATAAACATAAGTGCTACAAAATATACATCATATACTTGTGAAATTTCAGGTATTTGCAAATTTTTAGTTCTCAATAAGCCCATTTTATGGAAAAGAAATGATAATAATATATAAAAGTGATATTGTATCTAATTTCTTTAATACTAGTAGTGTTAAATTTGCAAGAAAATTAAATGTTATCTCAAATGCTAATCCAAGTCACAGTAATGGCTGGCATGGTGCCACAAGCTTCTAATTCCAGCACTCAGAAGGCAGAGGCAGATGGATCGTTGAGTTCATGGCCAGCCTGGTCTTTATAGTGAGCCCCAGGACATCTAGGACTACACAATGAGATGCTTTCTTAACAAGAAAATAAGACAAATCAGTCAAGACACAATAATGGCCAAAAGAGAAATAGAAAGTAGCTACAATAATTGAAATACATAAGAATTATGACACAGAATGCTTACTACCTTTAGTCTGGTTTTCAAATTCCTCAGATAAAAGATGGTAGCAACAACCCACAGAGCAAACTCCCTTGACTTCAGACTTGGATGCAAATATCCGCAGAGTATTTGGTGCAAGGTCACCACAAGTATGGAGACCCACCATTAAACAGTCCTTTAGAGACGAGGAAATTAAAAACAATGGCAATTAAAAGGAGAGTTACAAACTATACAAGTCAAGGTTTTAAGTATGTTTTCAAATATGTGAAGCTTTTAAGTGATCAATTCTACATAAAATTTTACACATCATTTTATATTCAAAGTAAATATTTGTTCCTTTTAGCCAAAATGGCCATACTTTCCTAGAGCTTCTGCTGTTTTTTTTTTAATTCTTCATTTGTATTTCTTCTCATCTCTTTTACAACTAATGTTTGCTTAACAGCTAGACACTGCATATTAAAGGTTAAGGTTGGATAAAAAATGCAGGTACTCCATAAGTCTGAGATTTTCGATGTTTATATGATATTATGACTATACTAGTCTAATTTCCTTTATTGATTGAACTTATTCAGGCTGCCTACCTTATAAAACATGGTTATGAGAAACAGAAAAGGTATAAACTTATCATTTCTAACATAATGCCAATATGTTTATTTACTGATCATTTAACAAAATAAAAATCTAGATATCTATTTTTCTCTCAATTTTCTAACATGAATTTTACATAAAAATTGTCTTACAAAATGCTTTTTCCAATTACTCCAGTCCTAATTTAAATGTACTCACATGAAATTGAGCACAAATATATATTATATGCATAGAATCTTGTCAATCTACCAAGCATCTCATAGTTGTATTTATTATTACTTTGTCTAATATGAATCATAAAATTGAATTAAAGAGGAGCAAATCGGACATTTCATGTGGACAATTTGCATCCATATACTTTTACCATTTGGAATTGACGACTTTTAGGGAAGTTGTACTATCTTTTAAAGTTTGAAGAAGCTACCTGTCAACACAGACATTACATGGGTCACATTATTATTACATTTATGATAGAAATATACTTATAGCAATTTCTCAGGTTTTCTTCACAATAACATTTTTTAATGTTTTCTTTTTTATAAATTTTTATTTAAGTTAGAAATAATTTTATTTTACATTATAATCCCAGTGCCCGCTCACAACATTTTTAAAAAGTCATCTTATCTCCCAATGCTGTGTTAAGAATTATTCATCCAACAACTCAATTTTTATGGTACCAATTAGAATTAATTTTAAAGGCACAGTGGTAATGAGACTATAGGAGCTCTCCGGAGGCTGAGGCAAGACTTTCTCATGAGTTTGAGGCTAGTCTGGGCTACATAATGGAATTCTACACTAGCCAGGCTTACATAGCAAGACTCTATCCCAAAACAAAACAAATACTGATGATACTGTTTAAGAGATACCAAAGAACTGGATAATTATCAATAAGTCTAATACAAATGAAATAATATCACTAAGAACATAAAGTCTGTCAATCATCCTTGCAAACTGACACACCATGTTAGGAAACCACAGTTTTTAAACCTGCAGACTCTTTAAGAGCCAGAGACTTTCTTACATCAGTCTCAAGTAGCCCAGGCTGTCCTTGAATTCAGGGCCCTCCTGCTTCAGTCTTTGGGCTGTCTACAGGTGTGCGACACCATGCTCAGGTTGCTCAGCTCTAGTAATAGAATCTCAAGGCTATTTTGAAAAATTGAAGTGACAAAATACCCTAAAATTTTTAATTTTACCAGATAACCTAATTACTGTTTTTTAAATTTGGGAGGACTAATGTTTCCTTTAACTGGTACCTTATATGGGTATCTGGCAGGAAGGAAGGCATTGGAGAGATGGCTCATTGGTTAAGAGCATGTACTACTCTTGCAGTGAACCCAAGTCTGGTTCTCAGTGTGCAGGCTGGTGCCATCCCCGCCTATAGCTCTAGATCCATGGCATCTACCCTCTCTTCTGGCCTATGCAGTTGCTGCACTAACATGCACAAAGCCACATAGAGACACATACATCTACACATAATTTAAAAATAAGAATAATATCTTTAAAAATATCTCTGTGGGGGAAAAGAAACCCTCTTTGTAAAAATCATATAAAACAAAGATTTAAATGTATAAAGAATTCTGGTATTTTGTTTAGCTATTTCTTTTGGGAAGATTTTTTAAAATTAAGGAAGATAGAATAATATTACCTTCAAAAGATACTCTGTCTTATGAAAGAGTCAGGCTAGATAATCTGTAGAAGCTTCTGTATACACTGTTTAACATATAATAGCACATTTAAGGCACATTGCCTTTCAATTATGTAACTTGAAAACTTAGAAAGCATTAAAGCCTTAAAGAATTCTCATAGGCTCTGTTTGCTCTAGGAAACTGCATGCCTGCCAATATAGTTATGCTAATTACCTCTTTATTGGTTCTCACTGCCCTGATCGGGTCATCATGTGTGGATGCATGAAAACGTGCTGCACTTCATGAACATCTACAATTACTATAAGTGTCAATTTAAAATAATAAAAATTATTATGAAAACACATAAACTTCTTGGACTAGAATTTTAACAATCTCTAAATTGTAGATAACGATAATTTATTTGGCTTACTGACTAGCATTTGTGCCAACTCTTCTATTTTGTATTCTACAGTATGTCCTTATTGAATTTTGACAGTTGTGGGGACAAGGAGAACCAGCTTAGGACTCTATTCTTGATCTTTAGGATTGATGTGTCAGATAACATCACATTAGTACAATAACGAACTATTTAAAGTTGATAGTGTTCTTGCAAACCAGAGGATTCAAAAGCAGACTCAGCTCCAGATCTTGAATAATGTCATGTAATTCTGAATCAGCAGTGATAAAAGAGGTCAGTGGTGAATATATACTTGAGTCACTTGGTTTTGTTGCCATATTTCTTCTCTGTTTCCTCACTTCAGACATTTCTGAATTGTGCACCTGAGATGAATGAAGTAGGTTCGATGGCATCAATAGGCAAAAAATCCATGAGAGAAAAGGTATTTTCAAAATACAACTTCTCTTCTTCAAGTGGCAGAGCATGTAGATCTCCTAGCTGTTTTCTGATGGCTGAAACTGCTGACTCTGAAAACTCTGGCAAAACATTGGAAGACACGTCTTGATTGCCAAGACTGCTCTTTGGTACACTCTCAAACTCTCCCTTACACTTGATTTCCTTTTGAGCTCCAATTTCTTTCGGCATTTTTAATGCCAGTCTATTGACATCTACTATTGTCTGACAATGATTCAGGTTCCAGTGTTTCTTCAACTTCCTGTTTCTCTCCTTAGCTCCATGAGTATTAGTATTTGAGGAATTGATGCCATAGACATTTAAACCATACTTTAAGGACAAAAAGGAGCTTAGGTAGCCTTTACCAGAACCCACGTCAATTATCTGAGAAAAGCAAAAAAAGAATGAATTCAGGATTTTTGCCAGTTGGTAATAGTAATATTCCAGATATGTAATCCATTATGTGTATTATTTTAATGTTTAATTTCTATAAAAATAGGCAACACAGCAGCAATGACCATTTTGAAAGAAAAGTTTTAAAACAAGACTGTAGTTGTACTCATCTCTCTGTACTACCCGTACTACCCATCCTGATTTCTCCTCATCTGGCTGGCAACTCCACCTGTCTTCTTCCCAGAGTTCTCTCTCTCTGTCCAGAAGTCCCATGTATACCTCCTGCCTAGCTACTGGCTGTTCAGCTTTTTATTACACCAATCATAGCAATACATCTTCACACAGTGTACAAATATCCCAAAACATTTCCCCCCTTTTATCTAAATAAAAGGGAGGGTTTTAATTCTGATAGAGTGAAGCTATACAATCTGGAAGCTGAATGCTCACATTTCATTCTTACACAGGAAGCAGAATAAGGGAGAGAAAAGGAAATGGGGCCAGGCTACAAACCTCAAATTCATCCCCAGTGACATAGTTGCTCCAGCAAGGCTCCAGCTCCCAAAGATTCCATAACCTCCACAAACAGTACCACCAACTAAGGACCAAGTGTTCAGATACATGAGCCTATGGGTGGCATCTTACATTCAAACCACAACACTTGTTTACATAGTTATTTCATATAAACACAAATGTATAAAGATATGAGGACAAGAATACAGTAAACAGCCTTCACCTTATTCTAGTTTGGTATAGCTTAGTGGCAGACCTTTCAATGAAGACTTAAGTACTGTATGTGATCTCTTTGGCAAGTGAAATGAACACTGATCAGAAATCAAAAAGAGGGGACAGGGTGGAAAACAACAGTCTAATAAGAAGTAGTAAAAGTAGAAAATGAAATCTGAGAGGTACTAAAAATGGGTAATACTTAAAAGGAAATTCTCTTATCTGCTTTAAACCACAGTAATCAGCAATAAAGCAGATTAGCTCTGACATTTCCTGAACCTCATGAGATTTTTTTGTATTCATAAACTCAATTGCCTTCACATTTTCACCTGAATGTAAATAAAGATAATTAATATACTTCTACTAAAAAGAATTTTAATGAGTTGTCACAGCTTTTTAAATCAATATGAAAGTGGCATAAAGTCTATTGTGATATCTGTGTGATTTCTGTTAATTTAACAGTTATGATTTCGATTAATTAAGATAAAAATATCCACGGATAATTAAAATCATTCCTTAATATAAAAGTAGTTAACTATAAATGAAAAAAAACTTTTCTACCAAATAAGTTTTATCAGAAAACAGTTTTAACAGAGTAAAAAGATAAGCAAGAAAGTGGAAATAGACATTTCTATACACACACATGAAAATAAAACCAACTCCTATACACCAATAAGAAAAATACTGCCTAATATAAGAGCAAACAAATGAGCAAATTAAACTTCCAAGCTATACTAGCCACATTTGAAGAGCTTAATACCCACATGTGGCTATTTTCTACTATATAGTGTATAACAACAGAGCACATTCTATAACACAGTACTTTAGAGTACACACTACATTTGATTTAATGTATTTGATGGTATTCAGCATAATCAGACATGTGGGAATTGGGTGTGGCAAGTTGATATTTAGGGCTGGGCTAGAAATAAATAAATCTATTAAGGCATGGCAGTGTTGACATTTGACATGCCTGCTTATAGGCCAAGCCTCTTTCCTCTTCAATGGGAAAATGTAAAAACCTTGCTAATAAGGTCTTTCCAGGAGTACATGGTTATTACACTGTGGCATTCTGATACCAGTCCAGAAAACAAATAAACTGACATACTCCAGGATGGGGAGTAGATTCCTTCCTTGCACAGCTGTCACTAACTTTTTATTTTTTTGGTTTTTGTTTTGTTTTTTTTGTTTGTTTGTTTTTGTTGGTTTTTTTTTTTATGAGACAGGGTTTCTCTGTGGCTTTGGAGGCTGTCCTGGAACTAGCTCTTGTAGACCAGGCTGGTCTCGAACTCACAGAGATCCACCTGCTTCTGGCTCCCGAGTGCTGGGACTAAAAGCGTGCACCACCAACACCCACCTGCTGTCACTAACTTGTATCCCTATACTTCGAAGTCAACTTTCTTTTACTGGCATAAGACAACATCCATCTAGATCTTGGTAAAGGTTTCATGTTTGTATATGCTATTCTTGCTCTCTTTGATACCGAACATATAGTTCTTATGTTTTAGAAGGCAGATGGAAGGCCAGGTTTCACTCAGCTGTGGCCAGTTAGAAACAGCTTGGATGATGTACTTAGTGTTTTGATTACAATGCCAATAGCCATGTTGCTGATGAACTCAGTTACAGCCAGAATGCCCTTACCCAGAGCCACGATTTCCCAAAATTCTTTGTTTTGCTCCACGAGGAACACAATAAAGTAAGTTTCATTAAAATACTTAGAGATAAAGGAAAACAACAATAATAAGGAGAAAATTGGACTAAAAGGGGGATAAGCTCCTTTTGCAATGAAGGGCTTCTGAGGATCCACTTTTGCCAGCAAACACTAAGCACTAGTGTTTAGTAAGGAAAAAAATTACATTGCCTCTTAGTGAGGTGCATGAGAAAGAAGTCCTTTAATTAGCATCTCGCTTAAAAGTGTAAGGCTGTACTTAATCAAACAAACCTTCCTGCAAGCGTCAACATATCAGTGTTAGGAAAAACAACAGGACAAAGAAGAAAATTCTGGGTCCACTGTCTGACACCCATCGCAGCTCATCACTGTTCAAAACTAGAGGCCCTCTTCTGACCCTGTGTGCACCAGGCACACACATGTAATGAACACATGCATGTAAGCAAAGCACTCATACACATAAATCTACAAAAAGTCTAGGAAAAAAGGAAGCTAAAAGTAATTTCTGCAACACTAAAACAAAGTTGAATACAGTCTGCCTATTAGATAATGTTACTAAAGCCAAGTTAAAGTCCCGAATGAACCTACATGATACAGGGTAAGTAGTTCTTGTTCTTATGGATATACTGGTTCTTATGGATACATACTAAAATTCTTGCAGATGATTCCGTATCTGTGACTAATGGTCAAAGGATCCAGATTTTTAAAAAGTATGTGTGTGGGGGTGCTTACAGCAAATAGGACTTTAACATGGCAAATTTAAGTCAAAAGTATCCAGGATTCACTGTAGTACCCAAGCAGTGTTTCTGTAAGTTTAGAGCTTTCTTAAAAAACAAAAAAGAGTCGGTGAAACAATGAGGGCCAAATGAGATAACAGACAGTAAGGACCTTGGTAAACAATAAATTAGTTCATGTGTTCCCTATTTTATCATTAATGTAATTATTATTTAATCCATTGGCTCTACTACTAAAGCTGATTCCTCGACATGGAATATGGTCAGTTTTTATATTTTTGGTTGTGAGCCTAGCCTTTAATGGCTGAGCCCCATGGTCAGTTTTTAAAACTTCAGCCTCCTCATCGCTACCATCTAACTGGGGTGTCTATTGGCATTTAACATAACTATGGATATGACTTTTAATCTATTTTGCTACTTGATTTTAATTTGGGTTGTCCCCACTTTCGTATACTTAGGTCTTGCCAATTTTCCCAGCAACTACCATCCACATTACTCATATTCTCTCCCCACCCCACCCCCAAAAAAAATGGTCCACAGAGACCATTATCCAACTGCAATAAAAATTAATGCAAGGATTTTGAAATCTGTAGTAGCACAATACATATGCGCTTGAGAGTTTGAAACTAACTGTGAAAAAGCATAGAGATGTGCATGTGCCCTTAATATGGGATAAGAGAACCTGTTCTTCTCAGTATGACTGAACATATCAGTGCTTGGAATTTGTCACACTCACACATACCAGTCCTCTATTCTTTATGTAGCTGGACGGCTGTAAGTAACTGCTCAATAGGAGTACACAGCCCCATTGCACATAGTAGTGTCTGGCGGCCACAACAAAGGCTTCCGTGCTCAACAGCTTCTGAGACCTTTCACAAAATACTCTGGGGAGATCAATAAAACCTGAAAATCGGACAGAATAAGAAGATGAGCAGTAGTTAATATCTAAACAGTTTGCAATTTTAAAACAGCATTGGCACCATGGGAATTTTACAGCAACTTACAAGATTTTAACTTTAGATTTTGGCAATATCTCTAATAGCTCCTTGTTATTTAAACTATTAGCCTCTGTAAAACCTGGTTTTAGCATTTTCTCCAATCATGTCTTGAAAGAGCAAATTATGTTTGGTCTTTATGTTTACCAGGAGCAACAGCAGCAGGAGTTTTCAGTCTGCAGAGTAATGTAGTTGTTAACCATGAGCTGTCTTTTCTGACCTACAATTGTGCATTTCAAGGTGCTAGTCTCTGCAGCACTGTTATTCCTGTATTGCAGTCTTACTCTTCTGTGCCACTGTTAAGTGACAACAATTTATTTCTAAGGTTTTCATTCCAATTTGTCCATAGCAGTTCATGAACCTCAATGGATAAGGCAGTCCAAGTGAGCCCATTCACTTAAGGGTGTTTTTAAAAGCTAAATCAACACATAACAAAATAAAAGCAAGCTCACAAAACCAACAAATCTGGTTGTTAAATGAAGTCTATGGAGCAGTCACTTAGGGGATGCACACAATCTAGGGAACAACTTGGGACTCTACCAAAACCTGACAAACATCATAACATACATGCCATGACATCTTGTCTAGCATAGATGACACTCATAACTACTTTTTAAAATATCTATCTAAACACAAAGAAAACTGTTGCTCTCTGAAAAAAAAAACTTGAAAACAGTGTAACTGATGAATATCTTCAAATCCCAACTAAAATTATACACTTCCACTCATAGTTTTTTTTAAAATAGCATCTCTTAAGTTGGAGATATACTGTGTGCTAAATTTATTAAACAGAAAATAGCAAGATGTGTGACTTCAAATTTTGAATCAATGAAATAGAAAATAAAACCACAAGGTTACCATAGTGAATCTATTTAATATAGATTTTAGGAAATTTTACAAGCTGAATTTACTGATGCAGCCAAAAGTAATAAAAAAAATCTACATCAAAATATTTAGACATGATGCAGGAGGGAAAACTCAGTCAACTATTAAGTGAGACTTTCAGGTTTAAGAGCAGTCTCAACATCCGAAAGTTCCAGGGGAGCAGTTTCTTAGAGTGTGATAGAATAAAAGTATGAAATCGCAGTGAGCAGAGGGACCATTATATCTGCCTGTTATTGGGCAATGTTGCCAACAGAAAGAAATGTGATGTTTCTGTTGGAAAAGTGTCTGAATCAACTTAGCTATCCTATTGAAAATTCTTGAATATATTTCAATTTGACCTGAACTAAACACTATTAATTTGCTTTTAATTACAAGCACTCCAGAAATTTTGGGTACTGGAGGCCTAAGTTAAAATGGTAACACATTTTCAGCAATAGTCAATTTTCTAAAGGACTACATATTGTGATTCGATCTCATAATTTATTTCTTTAGAGTTAAAACCAGTTTATTCAGTCTAGAGTTCCACAATTAATTGTTTCTTTGATCACAGAAATACAGCTGAGGTTATTTTTTTCTGATTCAGTCTATAACAGCCACAATTTGCTGCTTTTAGAGACTCATAGAGAACGAGAAGGGCCAGTGATCTTGTCTTCCCTTTCTTCTGTGATCCGGCATGTGAGGAGGCCATGGGACAATGGCCAGGTTCAGATCCTCCGAGTGCCCTGTGTCTGCATAAGAAGTTTGTGATTGGCAGCCAGTAGCACAGAAGCCACAGTGCCATTGAGTTTTAGTTACTTCTTAGTTGGGTGCAAATATTCTTCCCCACAGAGAAAGTTGCTGCAGTTTTTAAATCTGCTGCCTGCTCCACCTGCTTATTCTGCAGCTTTATTGCTTTGCCTACACCTCCCTCTAGTGGAAGTTGTCCATCATCACTTTGCTGTGGTCACTAAGGATCTGTTTTCTGAGACAGATTCTTTTTTTTATTTTTCTTTTTTCCAACTTTTTTATTGAATTAGAAACAGGATTGTTTTACATGACAA